ACCAACGTTTCTTGAGGCCTGTTAGTAAGTGCAATGACCCCTGGTGGCATAGTGGTTAAGCGCCTGTTAACAAGGTTAGTTCCAACCCACCCAGCAGCTCTGCAGGAGGAAAGGCCTGGCTATCTGTGCCCGTGAGGATTATAGCCTAGCACATCCTACAGGGAAATCCCACTGTGTCCCATGGGGTTGCTAGCCACTCGACAGCACCCAACAACCACATTAGTAAGTTCCAGACACAGAAAAGGACTGGGTCCTCAGAACTGTCTTTGCCTTTCAAGAAGCTCACAGCTCATTGACGAAAAGAGATGTATGAGGGATTCATTGGAATTCCATGGGCCATGTTATACTTTGGGAGAACCACCCTCAAGTTCAAGGATTCACATGAAGGACTCATAGAACTCAGAAGGGGCCTTTTACTCACAGTCATGGTTTATTACAGTAAAAAAGATGCAGGTTAAAGTCAACCACGGGAAGAGGTGCATCATGGGGTACAGTCCTACAGACACAGGTGCAAGCTCTCAGTTGTTACCTCCCACTGGACTGGTCCAGACTAGTATGTGCTTCTCCCATCGCTGAGTATTATTCAAGGCTCCCGTGAGCCTTGCTGTCCAGGGTTCTAACTGGGGTTCAGTTACTAGGCATGGCTGACCTCACACTCTGCAGCCCCTTCAGAGATGATGCCACATGGTCCAAGGCCACCACCATGAACCACATGTCAGCATAGACTATCTGGTATGGCCCAAGGCCTCAGGTAAACAAAGACACTGTTATCGGGTAGGACATTCCAGAGGTTTAGAGGTTGTGTTCCAGGTGCCAGGCAAGGGCCAAACCTTTCTTTGGAATATGCAGGGTCTGGACAACCCAGACTGCTGAGTTAATCCTTTACTTCATACTTGGACTCATCAGAAAAATGTAAGATGAGCAGTGTTGACTCAAAGGTTGGCGTCAACAGTTCTGTTTGAAGGGAAGGCAGTCTCTCTTCTTTCGGAGGGCCATGGGGAACCACCAAACCTGTTGTTGTCAGTTGATTCTGACTGATATGACCCTATAAAACAGGGTAGACCTGCCCCATAGGTTTTGCAAGGCTATAATCATTTGTTGTAATCTTTTATTTTTTTACAACAAACTATTACAGCCTGTACACAGACCAGGAGGCTGTTGTTTGAATAGAACAAGGGGACACTGCATGGTTTAAAATCAGGAAGGGAGTGCATCAGAGTTGTATCCTTTCACCATACGTATTCAGTCTGTATGCTGAGTGAATAATCTGAGAAGCTGGACTATATGAAGAAGAATGTGGCATCAGGATTGGAGGAAAACTCATTAATAACCGGCGATATGC